TGAACGGGGGCTCCGTTTTCCCCACGCAGCAACTTCCTGCCGCAGGCGTTCTTGCCCGGGCTCGCCGACACGGCGAACCTGACTTCGAGCCTGCAGTCCTGGGAAGGCTGGATCATGACTCAGGCATCGGAGTCTCAAGAGAGCCCTTAGGGGAGGCCTGTGCTCGCTGGCCACGAGGAAACCCGCAAATTTATTTTCAAGTTTTCGCCGTTTTGTTGTTCCTTCAAACTACAAAAGAAGGAAAACAACACAAAAGCATTCGACCCACCAATATCCGCACCTAGGGCCATTGTTAGCTGGCTCGTACACCAGGCTGGGCTCCTGCTATGGCGCGGCTGCTTAGAGGGTCTGAGGGAACTTTGGGAACTTGTGAGCGGGGGCGGGAAGTCGCACAGCGCTTTCAATGAATCTTATTGCATCCTGTGGCTCAGACCGAAACCCGGGTCGAAGCGTTGGATGGGTAGCAGTCCCAGCCAACAATAGGTGCGGTTCCTTAAATGTTTTGCGGTAAAGCAGTTAATGGTAGCTGCTAGATGATTATGTCTCAGCTGTTCCCTGCTTCATTCCGGCTGTCTTTCACTTTCTGGAACACACCATGTTTGAAGATCCGGGGGAAGGTGGCAGAAGGCGTACTCATGATTTGTCTTCTCCCCTTTCAGCAAACCTTGTTGCTGGTCGGATCTGCTCGCAAGAGGTTCTGCAAGAGTTTCTACGCAAGCCAAGGAACCCAGGGCCTTGATGGTATTTAGCGGGCGTGGTTCCCGCCAACCAACCAATTAAGCAAACCCAGGCTAATTTGTAGCTGGTTCCGACCTGAACCCTGGCACCCCCTAAGTAAACCGAAGCAAACCCAAGGAACCCCACGGCCCCACAGCCCCCCAGCCCCCCAGCCCCACAGCGCCCCCAGGACCTGGCCGGCGCGCGCCGCGTCGCCGCCGCCCCGCGCAGCGCCGCCGCCTCGGCGCTGAAGGCGGCGGCGCGGGCGCTGAGCGCGGCGGACGAGCACGCCGGCCCGGCGACTTCAGCCGAAAACGAGTTGTTGTCCGAATCCAGGAGTTGTACCTGGTGAGTTTGGACGAGGTACCTATTGTAGGAATAGTTGTAGGATGTTGTAGGAATCTCTGTTGGCCGGCCTCGAAAACGAGTGGTTTTTTTGTCCGAATTGTCTAGGTCCCTTAGCTAGGTGCCCTTTTACCGTTTATTTTTAGGTTGGGAGGGTTCCCCTACTATAATAGACTACAGAAAAAAGGGGACCCTTATTCTAACCTCTCTACTGGAGGACCTGGTTGTGGTAAGTTAAGTTTAGACCATGAGGTACATATGGTTGTGGGAACTGTTGATGGAAACGGGTGCCCCCGAAAATGTAGTGGTCCTTCGTTTCCCTTTCAGCTAACCCAAACAGTCCCCTCAAATACATCCCTGTGTGGCCAAACGTGCTTGGTGAATCTGACTCGTCTATGTGAGTAGTCCCTCTGCTTGGTTTCCTTTGTGCATATGGTTTCCCTGAAAAGGCCCCCATCGCTCCATGGAAAAGATGGTCTGATTCAAGGTTTGACAGTCCATGATGTCCGGATGACCATATTCATGGAGAGGGCTTGTGAATGGGGCATGGGTCATAGAAAGAAAGCTCCTTTTTTTGATGGTCACAGGGAAACGAGCAGGAAAGGAATTAATGTTTTGTTCGAAACGAGAAATGGCCATGGGTCAAAATCCCGTACCCCCAGTCAACATCCCAATCCCCACTAAAATAGACTAAACATGGGTGGCGCACCTTCCCCAAAATGGTACCATTGGTTTGGACCCACAGCCAAATCACGGTCTCAGCAGGTCCCCTCGTCTGCCAGGAGCTTTGTGCCCAAGTCCTTTTGGAGCTCCGCGACTTCGGGGTCGACCGGGAGGTGTCGACGGGAGGTAGGGGCAGGCCTCTTGGGTCTTCCACCCATCAGGTAAGCAGGCGAGAACCATGATAACTACCGCAACAGGGTTAGTCCTCTGATATCCGTGGTGATAACATGCTTACTAGTAGCTTGCACACCCAGCCCACGTCCTTTTTGGAGAAGTTAGGTAGCTTCGGTCCACATCTATCCAGAAACCGGCAAAAGCCCAGGGCAAACGCCCGGCATTTGGAAAGAACAGTGGTTGAGTGTGGCAAACCCACCCCTACCATCAGTTTGCCTTTTTTGGTGAGGGCCCCTCCAGTGGTGGCCTTCTTTTGGTTTCCCTTGAAAGGGGTTCCCCAGCCAGACCCATGTGGGTTCAGGGTCGGTTTGGGTTGGTTTAGGGTTGGGTTAGGGTCGGATTTGGTTTGGTTTAGGGTTGGTTTAGGGTGTATACTTGCAAGAGCCGGGCTTTGTTTTTCAGAAGCGTTCTGAACCTTGTGGCTTAGGTTTGGTTTGGGGTTGGTTTAGAGCGGGCCTAAGTCTAAGTTGGCTTCGGCGTGGCTATTTCTAGGGAGGGCTTAGGGTTTTTGCAGGGTTGGTTTTGAGGTTGGCTTAGGGATGATTAGTGCGTGTTTGTCTTTGTTTAGTCGGGTTTATGTGAACCGCTGTTGGGGTCGTTCTCTCTTAAATTTCATAGCCACATGAGCCATGGGCTTTGGATTCTGTAGCCACAGGACTGATGGGTCAGTTGAGCCAAGGGCGAGTTTGTTCTTTCCACAATGACATACATTGGGTTTGCCTGAGTATCCCCTTTGTTTCCATTGTATTCAGGCCAATGCACCCACATCATCCTCTTTGCTACCGCGCAAGATTAAATTTTGATCGTTGCTGACATGGTTTCACACCTAGACAGAATAGATGTAAACCGTGGAAGTGAGAATTACTGGCCTACTACAACGGCACGCCTGGAAGCACTGGCGCCTGTGAGGATGTCCCTGGCTGCCATAGTCGGAGGGAGGTTGCGTACCCCTTCACTATGCCCATCAGCCAACCCCAACCCCAAACCAACCCTGAATGAAACCCTAAACCCGGCTACTAAACTAACCAGAAACGGCAAACTGCCCCAAGTGTCCCCTAGAATAAATGAAGCCCACCCAAGGGTCCCCCATCGGTCAGCTTCTGACGCGAGGTGCTGGAGAGGCGCTTGTCGCCAGCAGCGGCCAACGCCCTCTTCGAGGAGACGGCTCTGCGCCTGGGCGCTGGGCTCGGAAAGCACCAGGGAGCTTTGGCGTTTGGGTCGGACACATTCTAGGTCCCCCAGTTGGGGTAAGTCTAGACCACGAGGTACCTATGGTTGTAGGAATAGTTGTTTTTGTCCGAATTGTTTAGGTCCCTTAGTAGTGCGCACTTTTACCGTTCCTTTTTTGGTTGGGAGGGCTCCCCTAGTAAAATAGACTACAGTAGAAAGTTGGTACCCTTATTCTAACTGCCTAGCATTGATTGAACGGGTATGTGCCGACAGAGGGATGACCCCAAAAAATGGTGGTGGTCCTGTTGTGCCTTCTAGAGCCATGCCATTTTGTGGATTGCAGCAAATGGGTGCTATGAAAGTACATACACGATGATGATCCTTTGGCGTAAACGGTCAGAACCTGTTACCCGTTCAACGAGTTGGATAGCAAATTGGTGAAGGGCGTCCTGCTGCTTTCCTTTTCCGGTGTCCACAGTTCTACCCTTGGGACTTTGCAACCAGACAAGGGCCACAGCTGTCTCCACCTTTAATATGGCTACTTCAGTAGGTAAAAAAATAACACAGAAATGGTTGGATGTCCACCGTTTCGGGACATGAGTTCCCATAACCCGCCGAAGAGGAATCCATCAAGTTTTCACTGGCTTGAGATAGGCCTGGCGCTGCGGGATGCGGGACAGCGGCAAGACGCTTGGGAGGCTGGGAGAGGGCATCAATCTTATTCAGTGGGAATGACGGGGAATCAAAGGCCACAGTTGGGGTGTGGGATTTGTAAGATTTCGTGGGGTGTGTCAGGGGTCCCTTTGCTTCCTGTTTGGCTCCTGCAGGCCCTGCATAGTTTGCTTCTTTGACGGGTTTTCTGGTTTTGTCCATTTTGTCCCCCCCCCCCGTCCAGCCCCGAAGCCCCCCCTTCCCTCCAGTTCCTCGAAACAATGCCCTGATGAGGGTAGTAATTTGGGCAAGGCAAAGATGATCTTTTCGTTCTTAGCATTCGGCCCCGTAGTTTCGACTCAGTTTGGTAAACACTAGATGCATTTCGCTAGTTTCAGTTTAGGCAAGGGACCCTTTTGGGTCTCTGCCTTTTTGGCAAAGGCAGCACACACCCCGAAACAGGCCCCAAGGGCTGCCGTACTTTTGCTTCTCTCCTTGGCTCCTTTACTTGTGGGGTTTCACCGTCACATGTGCATATTTCAAGATGGGTTTGAAAGCGGCGCCAAAAGGAACTAACCATTCTGATACAACAGATACTAGGGTTCCAGGTCCACTGCACAAAACGGATTCCTGAATTTCAATCTCCACGTTCCCATGGTCTCCTCCCCGTGTTCTGTACCCGGCGCGGCCTGGCTTCCCGCTGTTCTCCCTCCTTCTGCTTCCTGTTGCCGGTTTTCGCCATGTGCCCCTGGAGAACGTTAAGACATGCCCACATCGTTGCGGCCCATCGCCCTCCTTGAAACTCTTTACCACAGGTGTTGAGTGCACTCCTTTGATAGGTAAGTGATTTTGACTCTGCGCATGTCCCACAAAGGCGGAGATGAACAGCACGGCTTGCTGTGGGCAACAGTGGCACGATCGGCAGATGTCCCACTCGATGTTCCTTTTCGTGGGTCAATGTGGAAAAATGCAGGGAACGCCAATCGACTGTGTATGATATATACAGTCGATGGACAACATCCACACCAGGCAGCAATTGGCAGCCAGCATTCGTAGAGTTTCATCTATCCCAAGAGGAGCGAAGTGGATTGTGTCCATCCACCATAGTACTTCGCGTGCATAAAGCGCAACTGCTTTCTATTGCACCTTTCTCTTGGCTCCTGTGTTGTTGTTTTTCTTTGACAACTCGGCATTAGTCCCCTGTGGGCTTTACCCTTACACTCACCAGCATGGAGCCTGAGGTCTTTGGAAGGCCAGTTTGCTCTTGAAGGGACCAGACATTGGTGGGAGTCCATGGCAACATGGACGGAAGGGCACCATTGTTTGGGGTTGTTGCAAAGCGAAAACAGGAAAGCAAAGCAGACTGCCTGTTTTTTTGTTTGCATTGTCTTGTCCCTGATGCCATTTTCCCTCAAGATACTGGCCACTTCCATGATAGCACCTGCCTATTGGCGTATTTGATGATTCTTTGCAGACGCATCGCCATCGACATGTCTACTTCTGGGAAAACAACATGGAATTTTTGTGCTGTTGTTGCTTCTGTGTGTTTGTCTTTCTCTGTTCCTCATGCTGCTCCTGAATCTCCTTTGCTTTGGAGACAACCCCACGTGTTCTTTTTGTGAAAATCCTGATCCCCCTCCCTCATGGTTGGTTTTGCCTTGGCTTCTTTTTTCAACCATCCAAAAGGGTCCCCTGTTTCAAACACACCCATTTGGGTGATCTCAAGGACACTCCAAAGACCAAACCCCTGACCAACACAACACATAAACCAAATCACCCAACCACCCGCCTGTCTTTTTCGAGCTGGTTTTGTTGCAGACGCGCCAAAACTCGACCCATCCGAGCCTTTGACATCGCACGCGTCGCAGCTAGGCGCTGATGGCGGTCTGCGCGCAGCCCGCCTTGGGCCAACACCTGCGGAAGCCCTCGCTGCAGGCACGTGGCGCGCGACCGGCGACGGTCTCGTGGAATTTCTTTCGCCATGGCCAACCCATGGGAAACCCATGGGGAGACCAAGGGTAGGGCGAGTTGTCGTGAGGGAACCGCATTCAAAGGGGTAAAGTAGAAACTCGGGATGGGCGACTTCGGTATAGCAAGGCAGTTTTCCGCCATGCATGGAACCATGAAAATGCCGTAGCACATGACAATGTGAGTGGATCGTTTGAGGGGGACCACAAGGAGGCGGTTTAAGAATCTGGTTGCCTTCAGCTTTGGATTTCCTGTGGGAGATCTGCACCCATTTGCGCGAAGCTTTCCTCAGGCTCTGGCGGAGGTCTCTGAGCGCCTCGCAAACGCCACCTCGGATCCATACTTGCAGGCGAGAACTCGAGCGCGATACAGTCCAACTCGACTTCCCCTAAAATCAGGGAGTCCCTACTTGTTTGTTTGGAGTGGTTGGGGGTTGGAGGATTTGAATCCCCGGCCTTTGGTAGAGGCAGCCATTAACCTCCAAACCACCCATCCAAACCACCCTCTTCCAGCTGATTCAGAGCCCCGGGTCGGAATGTAGTGCTGAGAGGAAGCTCTTGTCCAACCATGGACAAACAGGTAGGACTCTTATTTTTTTCCCAAGGCGCCTATTTGAGGCTGTTGCCCGTTTTTTCTTCTTTTGTGTGTGTGTGGGTGGGGGGGATTGGACCGGTTTCTTGGAAACACTCATTTGGTAGTGTCTCAAAAGCGGGGGGGGGGGGGGTAGTTGGTGGCCCTTCGGATACGCGGCTGGACATCTTTGTGCCTATCATTGCCTATCCCAAATGTCGAAGGTACGCTCTTTTGCTGGCGTCCACGAAATTCTAAAGGTTCCGATCTGGATTTGTTTGATTTCCCAAAGCTACACATGTCGGCCCCCACACGCAGCGGATGAACATACCGCCCTTCGCCGAGGTGCAGTATCTTCAGGGCGTGCTGGACGCCGAGGTGCGGTCTGCGGGCGGCTCACACGGCTCCGGTTTGAAACCTGAGTTTCCATTGAATCTATTAAGGGGAAACTTAGGGAATCCACAAATTCACGCGGTTGGGGCGATCCGATGCATGAAAACCAAGCCAAAGTTTTTGAGAACCTGTAAGGGGAAACCTCATGGAAAGCCGGGTTGTTTTCAGATTCTTTTGAGCAGTGAGCCCTAGATGATGTCCATTATCCCCAAACTCGAGGAGCAATGGGAGTGGACAACAACTGTGTACATACCATATATCGAGGATATGAAATTGGTTGGTGTTCGAACAGACCGCTTGAACAGAAGCTGTTTCATCATTCGCTTTGCATCCAGAGCAGCAAGCCGTCAGAATCACGGTTCTTGTCCAGATACTAGATAGAAGAACGGCTCGCGCCACTCTCAAAATCTGTTTTATGTCGATGTTTGCAGACTTTGCCAATTAGCAGGCGTCCAAATACAGCCTGAAAGCAGGGGGCGCATTGCTGTTTGCCTGCTGATTCAACAAAATGTGCGTTTTTGCTGGCCCATTTCACCATGTTGGTTCAGGGCCTTTTCCAAGTGCACTTTTTCTGGCCAAACGCAGGGCTTCGCACTTGGACCGATGGATTCCGAGCCAGGTGGTTCTGCAGGCCTTGCCGCGGGACCGCAGAGAGGCGCAAACGTCTGGCAAATATCACGGCAAACCAGATCCACTTGCTGTCAAACCGACGATTTGAGCGTGTCTTTGTTTGAGGGTACCCTTTCTAGGTTGGTTTAACGAGCAACCAAATAAATACCAATCTGAATTCGGGGTGCCCTGATTTGGCGACAAGCCCGTGGGTGCAGAAATGGGCTGAAAAAGGTTTGCCGGCACTGGGTGTGTGGCAACTGCCCCGTGCGCAGAAAGTAGTTTGAACGACTTTTGGGCTGGAGTTTTAAAGGGAAAGGACAGCCAAAAAAATTGGGGTCCCCGAAAGAAGACACAGGTCACAGACCCAACCAAATACCACGCCAATGTAGTTGACAGGGGCTGGAGTTGTACCTGGCATTGTCCATGGAGAAGACCGGCCAAGAGCAGGACGCCGTTTGGACTCAGTCGGACATCCTCAAAGTCTTGACTTTCTAGCCGTACCGTTCCCATTGCCAATGGTTCAAAACCCAGGAGAAATGGGTGGTGGAAAATCAACCCTTCGAGACTTGGCTTGGGTGTTCCACCCTTCTACCCACTTACTAAGTAGCGTTAGGCAGGTGCGCGCAGACCCCCACCTTTGCCGTCGGTTCAAGAGGCAGAAGAAACCCTTACCCGCTAGCACCGCCTCTGCCTTTCCTAGACCCGCCTTCCCAGCTTGATGTAAGCGTTCACGGAGCCAGCTACACTTCTGCACAGAGGCATCGTGAGGGGACAACTTAACTCCTTGTGAAGACCCAAAAATGTGCCTCATCCAAAACGGGCTCCAAGACGGGCGCCTCCGTGTTCCGAAGAGGGGGTGTCCACCGGGGTTGCAACCATTTCGATCGACCACCACTTGTCCCCTTCAAAGGGAAGTCAGAAGGAGGTTGTTTAGACAGTGGCTTGCCCAACCCGGATGTTCACAACCCTAAGGCTCCCCACCCCCAAGCAAAACCTATAAGAGGCCCTCCAATTAAGAACCGGACCCTTGGGGACCGTTTTCGGGAAGCGGGTGAAAAAAAGCCGCAAGACGGACGCCCATCTTAGGGGCCCGAAACCCCAGAGCTGCCCGGCATAGCCCGGGAGCCATCCGTTGAATCTGCGATTCCGGAAAGGAGAGCCGACAGATCCTCACGCGCCTTGCGCGCAAGGGCACCAGCAGACGCCGAAAGCAGGCCATGGCTTTGGGGACTTCCCGGGAACCATCCGGGGATGGAGGCGAAGAATGTTGACTTTCAGAGGCTTACAAGGGGCCCTCACAAGATTTCCTCTTTTGATGGGTTTTGAACATTCGTGTTTGGGCAAGTTTTAAGCGAGCTTCCTTGTGGTGGGGTGACGATGTAAGAGGAAATGGAACATTAGAGAACCTGGGTAGGGAACGCGTATGGGGTTGTGGGTCCACTTGTTCCCTGAAACTGCAACAGCTTGCCCTCCGTCCAACCATGGAAGGGGACCATTTTGAGAAGCCCCCTGTCCTCCTTCCACTTTCATGATTGCTGGAAAAAGGGCAAGAAACCCGTTCGGGCCGTTTGGGGAGCAACAAATGGTCTTTGTTATGTTTGCTCATATTTTGAGTTCGCGCCTAGGGAGACTTGCTTTATTTGCGCATCCACTTGGCTGGTTGGTTCGAGAGGCTTCTGCCTTGCTCGCAGGCAGAGTGGGCGATTCTTGTGCAGGTGCAGAGCCGTGCCGCGCGTGGGGGGATGGAAGTTTTAAGCGAGAAGAAGGGAAATATGGGCACCCACAAACAGATCAACGGGGGGGGGGGGGGGGAAAAGCTAGTTCGAGCGTTTCCCTATTTGGGTCACTTCATTAGACCCAGTAGCAGCCGCAACGGCAGCATCTCAGCTCTTTGAATGCCAACCCTGGCAAGATCTGGCAAGTTGTCCTTGATAGAAGCCCAATAAACTGCCGCGATTTCCGCCTACGCACTTGCTCGGCCTTTGAGCACTAGTTGTCCCCATGAATCAACCCGCCAAGGGCGGCACTTTCGCCGCCTTCAAATGGTTGGTCTGCAGGACGCAGAGGTTGAAGATGATGGAGCGCAGAGTGCCGAGATGAAGGGAATCTGGAACGAGGCGGGGAAATTACTTTTTGGTTTTAACTCACTGCTATTCACTGCTAGTTGTTTGGTGGCTCCCAGCCATCCCCTTAGCCTTTCAGCTTTTTAGTGTTTAGTGGTAGTTTCCATTTAACCCACTAAAAGTTAAACTTTTAGCGGGGAATCTGAGGGCAGCCCAGGTTTGGTGAAGCGGTCGACGCGTGGCATGTGAGGTCTGGCATGTCTCTAAACGTCCCGCAAAAAGCTGGGGACTCTCTAAATGTTCCCACGTTCGGCAGGTAACTGAATATTTTGACCGTGGCTGATGTCATGTCACCCCAAACTCACTCTTCTCCAGCCTTGTGTTTAGAACCGCCACGTGTCTCTTGTCGGAAGGGGAGGTGTTGAGTGGACCCGGCCATCCAGAGCCCAACTATGTTGTGACTTTCTCAAGAATCGTTGGATCCCTCCTTGGGTCTTGACTGCTATTGGGTTGGATCTTTAGACTTTGGCTTTTTCGGAAATCAAGGGGTTTTCCACTAAACCCCCAAAAGTTAAACTTTTGCAGGGGGTCAACAGCAACCAAGTCCAGCGGGTCTCATTTTTCCTTTGCCTTTGTGGGGGCTGGTTTTCCTTCAATAGGCACAATTTGGCGGGTGGCGTTCTGGAAAGAAGCATTCGGTACACGCAAAGGGGCCAAATAATCAGAAGCACTGTTGGTTCCTTCACGTGTTTCCTGAGAAAAGGCTGCGTGGGTACGTTTCCAAATGGGAGGGGCTTGTTATGTTCCTTGTTTTATCATGAGCCACACGATTTCGTCGGGAAGTTTCTGGCACACCACCGAAAAATAGCAAATTGGCCCAACATCCAGGCCCACAGTAGTGCCCGTTTACCCTTTTTTTGGGGGAGGGTTCCCCTAGTAAACTAGACAACAGAAAAAAGGGTACCCTTATTTTACCCTCTCTACTGGAGGACCTAGCAGAGGTTCCTCCGGTTTCGGTGCAGATTGCGCGTCCTTGTCATCCCAGTTCCTCCGGATGACGCCAGGTCCAACTCCCCAGCAGCAGCCGCCTGGGCGGTGCGGGCGCGGCCGCCCGGCGCCAGGCGTCGGGGCCACTTGCCCAAGGCGAATCGACCTTTGGACCTTTTGTCTTTTCTCTTTTTTCCGTGTTCGGCAACCATTCTGAGTTGTGGTAATTAGTACAATTTTAACCTTATAATATTTGTTGGATCCTTTGGGCAAATGAGCGTTGGGAGAGACGAGGGGCCTGGGATACTTAAGGTCATGTCAAATCGGAGAGTATTTGCCAGGAAGAACAACAATTGGAAAGCCCGAGGTTTGTATTTGAGGTCGCCCTGACTTGTTGGAGGCTTTGTACGACTGTTTGGGGGGAAATGGGCTTGGTCCCCAATTTCGACACCTACACATATGAATTCGGTGTTCAACGGAAAGAAGGAGAGATGGGGCAGGACTTCTCAGAACCCCAAGGTGGACACAAACACGGGGTGATTGAGTGATCGGTTCTCATTCACAGTCATCATCTGGTTGGGACCTTTTGGTGGATTAATCACAGTCATTATATCGCGTGGGTGATCCATTTTAAGTGGGATTTCATATGATTTCATCTATTTCAGAGTGATTGAAAAAATATGGGTGTGTGTGCGTGTCTCCGTCTTTTCTGGGAAGCCCCTTTTGGCTGGTTTTATGCGGGGCCTTTTTGTTTTCCCACCGTCTCAAAGCGGATCAAACAATATGGTGTGTCTTAAGATTCGCGACCGTGGCTGGAAAAGCCCAGAAAGCAATCGCGGCTTCCCCAGGAATGCATGGGGCAAAAACGGGATCCGATCCGTTTGTAGAACTCTTGGAAAATGCAGGCCTCCGGCGCTTCAAGCTTCGGTCTGCCGGGCGGGGGCGCAGCGGTGCTGGCTGTGGCACTGCTGGCGGGACCCGTACTGAGAGTGCTCACAAGAACACAAGTGCATCCTTGAAGGAATCCTGTTATGAAAGCAAACCCACTGACTAGGGTGTCAGGTAGTTTCCTCACTCCATGAGTTCCTGGACCTTAGTCACGTTTGGGGGGTTGGACCATTTCTGCCACTAAAAGTTTGACGTTTTGGGGCTACTCTACAGAGGTGAGGCTGCTGGCAAAATTGGTGGTGGATCGGTGAAAGTTAAGACTTGACATTTAGGGAGAATGTGCAATCGTCACCACACTTTTGACACGATTAGGCCACTACGGAGGTTTCCCCACACCCCTATTTGGCATCGCCGTTTTGTTTTCTGACTTGGGTAAAGTGTCCCAAAGAAGCAAGCGTCAACCTGGCGATCCAGGCACAGCCGCACGCCTCATCTCGCAGTCGGTTGGAGGCCCTCCCGCTGGCCTTGCCTCTGCTGCTCCTGGGTCCGAAGTGATCCATTGCGACGACAGCTTCAGCGCTTGGTTTTCCGAAAAAACGCGGCGAGTGGTGCGCGGGTCTTTTACATGCCCCCCTTTTGATGACCCAAACAGCCATGAAACATCACCACATCACCCAGCACCTTCAAGGCCATTTTGAGGTGAGCTTTCTTCGGGTGAACCTGCTCCCGCCCCATTTTGAAATGAGCTTCCTTTGGACAAGGCGCCATTTGCGGACCCCGTCCACTGCGCAGTTTGGTGTACGTGCGATTTCTGGGCAATGTGAGCGTGCGGTTTCCGCCAGGGCACAGCGACTGGAAAGGCCCCGATGGGCTGACTCTGCAGAAGATTGGGCGTGTCTTCGGGGCAGTCCCTTTTTGGATGGTTTTAAAGGGGACACCACCAGGAGACCAAGCGCTTTGGGGTCCGATCCAGAAACCCACATGGAACTTGAAGGATGCCTATGTCTGGAGGGAAATGGTGGGAACCCCAAGCAACACTTTTGTCTACCAACACCAATCTTCCGCAATGATCCTACGGAGCGGTCGGCCCTCGGGTTGAAGCAACGTCACTCGCCAGGAGAAGACCATGCTGCCTTTGTTGGAAGAGTTGAGGAGGCTGGAGGCAGAGCAGGAGGAGCGGTGAGATGTTCCGGTGATTGGGTCGGTCCAGATCCAATCCAACCCAATGATCAGGTAGCCCTTGGTTGATGGGTTGGATTGGTGGCTTGGGGACTTGAATCCCGCGTTTTTTTTTTTTTTTTAATACATTTTGTTTCTCGAAATTAAATGGGATACCACCCTGATATGAGGGCCACCCTCGCTCCAACCATTGGAAGCTGACAGGAGGGTGTGGACGACTTTTCTTGGGACGCCTTGTCCACTTCCTTTGTTGGAAGTGTAAGGTGAAGAGAGGAGCTCAGTTTCTGCTCTAGGCCCGTGACCAGCAACAAATTTGAATCAGGACAATTGTCTTTTGGAAGCACCCAGATAGAAGCAAAGAGCGCTTTAAAGGGCCTGAAAAGGGGGTTGGTGTTTTGATCAGATGGGTTAGCCACCCCACATTTGAGCAAACCGACCGTTTTTACATAAAAGTCTAACCGCCCACGTTGCCATGGACCCTCACCGAGATCCTCGAAGACCGTTCGACCATTTCCTTCAAGCAAAAACTTGCGGGTTTCCCATGTCAGGAAACCCTGTAAGTTCTCAAAACTGAAAATACTTCCCAGCCCTCCCGTTAGGTTTTTAGGCTTTTAGGGTGTGGTAGTTTCCACCTAGCTACTAAAAGCTGGGCTTTTAGCTCAAGAGAGACACCTGCCGGACCGAGTCCCGTGGGAACGGATGCGAGGAACGAAGACAGGAGCTCGCCACGGTACTGGAGAAGCAAGGGCAGAGGCGCCGCGAGGATCCACGTCGCCCGTTGCTTGGGTTCTAGGTCTTGCATAAACCTCAAGGGGCCATGGTTTGGTTGGAGAAGTTTGCCCAAACTAGGTTAGTTTGGGGGGTTCCACCTGGTCTGATGGTAATTATAGTACGGCCTGCAAAAACCTTTATCACCCTGGTAGATCTCGATTCAAGGCACAATCAAAACCGATGCAGGTAGATGAAGATGAGTGGGATGCGGGTACCCACCCACCCGATTCCCCTTGATATCAGGTTTGGTCTATCAGGCCTCCTCATGGCCTCTTGAACTTTATTCAGAGGTTATGCTGGGACATCCGAAGCTGTGAGCCATGACGGGTGGATTCCGGGCTTTTGCTTAAAGGATTGGAACCCACTGAAAAGACACAGCTACTCAGGCACGAGGAAGCCTGAAGTAGGGGAGCACTTGGGATCCTATGACCAATGGGTCAACCAACAAAACCTCTGATGCGTTCCCGAAACGGGTCACTGGTCGCGCCTGTTGAGCTCAACGCAAATTGGCAAGATGGCAAGCATCGCGTCGAGGCAAGAAACGTCCAGTCTTTGGAACAGAATGCTTGAGGCCATCTGCGTGTACAAGATCAGACATGTTCAAACCATTATTTTTTTTCATTTGTTTTTCGATTCTTTACCTCTTCCCAGACACCCAGTGGTGCCTGCTTTGGTTCCCACGCCCACTTGGCTGAGGTTTACCCCAACATAAAACGGTTGCTTCTCGACAAGCAGGTTGAAGAGTTTAGCTGCGGAGGGTCAAAGACTATGAGAAAAATGGGCTGACATGTTTACAGCGACAACACGGCCTATTTCAAAGTGGGGTTCTTTAGGAAGGAATTCGATGAACTAGCCCTGTTGCAGGAATCCTGAGATCCGGCTTGCGAATTGCAACCTGTCCACATCCTCATTTTCAACTTGCCTGTGTATTATTGCCCCTTAGCCGTTTTTGCTGTTTGGTGGGTTCCCCAAACATGGAATCAACCCCATGGAGTTTGCCCAGGGTCCCCCTCGTTGTCTGTTTCAGGCGTAGTGCAGCAGAGGAGGCTGAGAGGCAACGGCTCATGCAGGAAAACCTGCGATGCTTGGAGGAGCGCTCGGGGTTGTTGCCTGCTGGTTGCGTCTCTCCAAACTCCCTTCCCCCCCCCCCTCAGAGTTCCTCGTTTTGACGCATAGCTATTTGAGGTGAAATGTCCTGTCTCCGGAAGAGATTGAAAGGGCTAGAGCAAAACAACATCTTCACAGTGAGGCTGCTTGTTTTGCGAGGGGGACATTCTTGTCGAGCGGCAAACAAAACGATGCGCAGGAGCTGAAGATAGAGCAAATGATCATCACAGACACGCAGCCTGGCCGAACCATTCACCTGAAAACGCCACAATGGTGATTGGGAGCGGCTCAAAGGGAAGGTTCTGGGGGTTCCTGTTGGGAAAACCGCCTGGGCTTCTTGATTCTGATTGAGAGGCGCTTGAGTTCTCAGGCACCAGCTTTTGCAGCGTGCCGAGCAGCAGGCGGCGGCGCTGAGCGGATGAAGGGTGCCCCCCCTGTTCCGCCTTAGCATAGTGTAGATGGACGAACCTCCTGCACCAGTGATGAGGTTGATTTTATTTGCCCCCATGTGGTGCAGAAATTTGGTCCATTCACAGTATCAACCCGATCGAACTCAATCGTGCCAGATGGGTGTCCATTGTTGGGTTCCTTATTCAATCAAGGTCCCAAAGGTTGACCTTTTTGTCATGTCCCTTGCGCAGCTGACACAGAATGGTCAACCCCAACCAGACATGGCTTCCTCTGTCTACAACAGTCACTGGGCAATTGATTCACTTAGCCTTTCTGACGGGCAATGCAAACGCCACCTTCCAGGGGAATATCGGTATATGTTGTGTAGTTGACTCGGCTGTTTGTCCGTCCGTCCGTCTGTTTGTCTGTCTGTCGAGCATTTTGTGCTGATCCACGTTCACCGATATGAGGGCCCCGGGGCCATTCTGTGAATCTAGACATCCTTTCCGGGCTATATCTCCGAAAGTTGTGGGCTTTCCTTCAATCGGGATTGTTCCGGGCAAAATGTTGGACCCCTTCAATTGGGCCATCCTTGAATGCCAGCGAGAGAGGTCTCTGGTTGCTTCTTGGTTTGGTCTTGCTTTCACAACTTTTTGGGAGACCAAGTCTTGAATTTGCTGCTTCTTCAGCACCTCGTCTCTTGCTGGCAGAAGCATGCAGGAGCTCAAAGCAGATCAGATGGTCATTGCGGAGCAGCAACTTGGCAAGGTTACTCCGTTTCAGGGCCATGCTCTCCTTTTGCTACCTGTTGCCGAGTCTGGAATACCTCGGTAATTTGCATCCCTCAGAGATCTTACACTAGGGCGCATTTCATTGAATGAGGTAGTATTGCAGCCCCTCTGAAGGTCCCAGCCCCCAGACAGCTCTCACCTCCCCTCCCCCCACCCCCCCTGACACCAGGGAGCCCCTCGCAGCCAAGGCGTCGCCTTTCGAATGCGGCTGCCAAGCCAAAGGCGCCGCCCGGAACGTGACGTCCCGATACTCGAAGACAGACCCAGAGGTGGTTGGTGACCCCCAAAAAGGGAACGGGCTTTTAAGTCTGCCATGGGGCAGGTCGAAAAACCACCATTCCCCTGCCATGGGGTAATCCGAATATGGAATGACGGAATTGAAGTTGGATGGACTCCACTGTTTTCAGCTTCAGCTCAAAGAAGCGGGTGCCATCGATTTCCATCTCGGGTTGGAGGAGATTTTCGGCGGATCCTTCGCCGCCTACTACTCGGCTCACATCCACGCTTGGGCGCCGTCCCAGATGCCCAGGCTGGACGCGGTGAGCATGTGGGCGGGTGGGCGGGCGGGCGGGTGGGTTGATCTTTTTGGATTGAAGTCCTTGGGGTAATCAAGAAGCAGAACATTGTGAGTGCCAAAGGCAGAAAACAGCAAACCATCGCCTCCGCAGAATAGGCTTACCTATTGCGCTTCGGGTCTCTTGAACTGATGCAGCATTGTCTTGTCCCTTTTCCTAGGAGGCAAAACGGCTGTGAACAAATTTGCAGCGCTCCAACCATAGCTTCCACACCCTGTGTTTCATGTCAGGCTCTACGCCGGCTTTCACCACCGACCCCTGGGCTTCCTGCCGCTAAAGCACGCCGGCCAGGAGGGTTTGCTTGCAATGCGCTGGGACATGTGCGCTGGGACTAAGTGAAAATCAAGGGACAATCCCAACCAAAGGTGCGCGAAGCAGCCCCTTACCACGGGCTTTGGGTAGACTACCAGGTGTTGATGTCTATTCGTTGCGAAGAGCAAACACCTATAGAGACGCGTCACATTTGGATCAAACAAATGTTTGCACATGAATACATATCATGCGAAACACATGTGTATATTCGTATGTATATATTCGTTGTTAATTACATACATATATATATATACATATCATATATTTATATGTGTATACATATCTGCATACATGTATGCATACACCGCCGGCCATTCAACATCCCGCGGGCAGGACTCGGCCCGCAGCGGCACGGAGTCGGCCAGCTCGGGCAAGCCCCTGTGCTCGGCGCGGTCCGCGCACTCCACTGCAGCCTCTGTGACCGAAGGTCGCGGGTGCGAGTCCTTTTGTTTGTCTAGGTGCTCAG